GCGAAGTGGGGTGGCTGGGACATGAGCCAGTGCCCATATGACGCGTGTAAGACAAGGACTTTAACCAATAGGGGCCCGGGCCCATGCTTCCGTTTCTTTTGGGTAGATTCCCAGGAGTAGAAGCTCATTGTTATTGGTAAGCTTCTGTGCAACACTTGAAGAATCCAACGAATTGCTTCACAAAGTCACTTGCCATTACACATACCAGTTTATTTCTGTTAGCAGCAGCAGAGTTCCAACTTTCCCATCTCCTTGTCAACACTTGCCTGTCTTTCTTGAGTCTGGTCATTCCAGAAAGCCCAAAGTGGCATTTCTTTGTGGGTTTTCCTTGCATTCCCCTGTTGTATTGCTGACTGTTTTCTCAGCGATTTGAATATGTTTGAAGAGATGTCTGTCATAGTCTGCTCTCCATTTTCATTCAGGTTGTTAGTTTTGTTCTTACCAATTTCCGAGGATTCCTTATTCTGGCAATAACTCTTTTATTAGTAATAGGACTTAATAAACATTTTCTTGAAGTCTGTGTCTTGGATTTTCTTTCTCTTAATGGCATCTTTTGAAGTAAAAAGAAGTAGAATTTTGATGAACCTTGATCTTTTTTTCTCTCTTAGTTGTGCTTTGGGTGTTGAATAGAAGGAAATCTTTGTCTAATTCAGAGTTGTAGAGGTTATTTTCTGTTTTTAAAAATTGTTCTCCTGTGGGTTTTATACTTACAGTTTTATGTCTGCAGTCCAGCTCAAATTAACTTTTGTATGTTGTGTGAGGTAAGGATGCAACCTCATTTTACAAAATAACTACTATACTTAAAATTTGCTAAAACACAGGATGATTTTACATTTATAGCAGAACTTAGGAGAAGGGAGAGAGCTCCCCAGCAGTCGCCCCACCATTTCCTATATTACAGGTGTCATGCACTGAGGACCATTGTAGAACCAGGACCAAGTGTACCCACTGGGTGCCTTCAACAGCACTAGTGTATTTACGTGAGGTGCTGCAGGCTGGAGGGCCAAGGCTGTGGAGTTGAAGGGGTGGCTTCTTCCTGGGCCTCTCTGCTGGGTGGCCTGGCGTTGCCTTCACGCTCTGTCCTGTCTGGGTGGCCCGGCATTGCCTTCACGCTCTGTCCTGTCTGGGTTGCCCAGCGCGGCCTTCGCCCCACCTTTCCTCTGTGCTTTTTCTCTTCCTGTGCATCCCTGGTGTCTCTGCATGCTGAAATTTCCTTTTTTTAGTGGGAAACCGGCCACATTGCACGGGGGCAATCTAGATAGTCTAGTTTTACCTTCACTGTCTCTGTTGAAAACTTACATCCAAATACAGTTCCTCTTGTAGGTGCTGAGCCCCGGGGGGCTGGGGAGACACGTGCAGCTGTCAGATCGCGTCACTGTTAACTCAAGCACACCCTGTACACTAGGCCTCACTCGTGGAATGGGCGTTCTGGGGTGGAGACAAGTGTGTCGTGACATTTGTCTACTGCCGTAGCATGATGCACAACTGTCTCACCAACCGGAACCTCCTCTGTGGTCCTGCCTGTTCGTTCCCCCGTTCCCACCCAGTAATGCTGATTTTGAGCTCGCTCCATCCTCTTGCCTTTCCCAGGATGTCAGACTCAAACGTGGCTTGTTGAGATGGGCTTTCCCAATCAGCAAGATGCCGTCAGGGTTCCTAAGTGCATTTCCATGGCCCAAGAGCACATTTCACCCCTAATGTTGAGTGACTAGCTCTTTGGGCTAAATACCAAAAAAGTAATTGAAGGATGTGTCTTCTGCAAATATTGTCCCTCAGGTTGTGACTTATTTCCTCATTCTTTTGATCTAGCTTTCACAGAGCAGAAAATATCTAATGAAGTTCAAGTTACCCATTTTTTTTCTTTCATAATGTGGCTTTGGAATTCTACCTAGGACTGCCTAGATCTCACCCCATCTTACCTGCTTGCATTGAGGCACTAACCCAAGCAGAAGCATTTTTCACGTGTGTGAAAGGTATGAGAGCTGTGTCTACATTGATTTTTTTCTTTTTGCTTGTTTGTTTAAATGCCTGTGTCTAGCAGCATCTGTTGGAAAAAAGCCTCCTGCTTTCCCCTCTGGTATGGTCTTGACGGCTTTGTGGAAACACTAGATTAAGAACTTCTGGGCCTGGCATGATAGTGTAGTGCGTAAAGTCCTCGCCTTGCATGCGCTGGGATCCCATATGGGCACTGGTTCTAATCCCGGCAGCTCCACTTCCCATCCAGCTCCCTGCTTGTGGCCTGGGAAAGCAGTCAAGGATGGCCCAAGGCCTTGGGAGCCTGCACCCACGTGGGATACCTGGAAGACCTCCTGGCTCCTGGCTTCGGATTGGTTCAGGTCTAGCTGTTGTGGCTGCTTGGGGAGTGAACCATTGGACGGAAGACCTTCCTCTCTGTCTCTCCTCCTCTCTGTATATCTGCCTTTCCAATAAAAATAAATAAGTCTTTTTTTTTTTTTTAAAGACAGAAATCTCTATTTTTTTTTAAAGATTTATTTTTATTATTTTTTCATTGGAAAGGCGGATATACAGAGAGGAGAGACAGAGGAAGATCTTCCCTCCGATGATTCACTCCCCAAGTGAGCGCAACGGCCCATGCTATGCCGATCCGAAGCCAGGAGCCTCTTCCAGGTCTTCCACGTGGGTGCAGGGTCCCAAAGCCCTGGGCCGTCCTCAACTGCCTTCCCGGGCCACAGGCAGGGAGCTGGAAGGGAAGCGGGGCTGCCGGGACCAGAACCGGCACCCATATGGGATCCCGGGCGTGCAAGGTGAGGACCTAACCACTTGCGCCACCACGCCGGCCCCTATTTTTTTTTTTTTTAAAGAACTTCTTCCTGGGGTCTCACTCAGCTCTGTTGGTTTGTTGGCCTCTGTGCGGTATCAGCCTGTCCCGATGTCTCTGACTTTCCAGTGCGCGTTGGAGTTGGACCACACAAGGCTTGCAGAGCAGACTCTTCAAAGCAATCCTGGTCATTTTACATCCTTTTCATATAATATGGTGTAAAAGTTTCTCTCATACAAATTCTAGTATCAGTTTATCCGTTTTTTAAAACAACAACAACAACTCCACTTGGAGTTTGCTAGGCCCGGCCTTGACCTTGCTGTGAGCCTGCCAAGGATGGCTGGTGCTGAGCCCTGCACTCCGGGACTGTGGGATTGCTTCCTCAGTCAGGGATTCCTGAACTTCCCTGTGGGATGCTTTAGTTCTGCTCACTCCAGGCTTTGAACTCCTGTGTTCGATGGATTCCTGAAGAGCTGCTGCTTCTTAATGCCGTGATGAACAGAATTGTATCTTCATCTTGACTTAGACCTTCTTTTTCTCTTTTAATTTAAAGGTTTATTAATTATTTTGCAAAGTCAGATATACAAAGAGGAGGAGAGACAGAGAGGAAGATCTTCCATCTGCTGATTCACTTCCTAAGTGGCCGCAAGGGCTGAAGCTGTACCAATCTAAAGCCAGGAGCCAGGAGTTTCTTCCAGGTTTCCCACGTGGGTGTAGGGTCCCAAGGCTTTGGGCCATACTCTATTACTTTCTCAGGCCCCAGGCAGGGAACTGGATGGGAAGTGGGGCAGCCAGGACGTGAACCGGCACCCATATGGGATCCCAGCATGTGCAAGGCAAGGACTTTAGCCATTAGGCTACCATGCTGGGCCCTAGAGCTTGTTTTTAGAAGAATTCTCCACTAGGGGGATATCGTCCTTACCATCTCTACATAGATATTATACAATTCTACATGGAGGTTGAAGTCCTAAGTACTTGACCTTGCCTCAAGGGAATAGAGACTGCCCATTTACCACAGGTTACTTGTTTAGTCACTGGTTTTGGCATAAGGTAATAACTGAGCATTCTGCTCACTGCTCCTTGGGGTGGCCGTCTGGGTTGGGTCTGCTGGGTCCATGGTCACGTTCCTGTCAGTTGTGGTGGCTGTGCTTCCTGGGTGGCCATGGCCTGGCAGGGACTACAGGGGAGCCGGACGGTGCCAGCCAGCCTGGGCTTGCCCCTGTGGGTGGCAGGGACCTAAGGGAGAATAGGCCCCAGAGGTGCTGGGCTCAGAACTGACCAGCCGTCACAAGCTAAGTCATGAGGCCAGAGTTGGAAGAGGGTCGAGAGAGACCCCAGCTCCGGATGGCAGGAGGTTCACCGTCACAGGCCAAGGGACACAAGTCTGGGAAGGAGACTGGTTGTGGCCGTTTCTGCAGGCATTTCACCATAGTGGGACTGGCTCATGGGACTCCCTCTCCCCCACTGCTCCCTGCCTCCCACCTGCTTTGGGGAAAGAACCCATTTTCTGAGCTTTGGTGGGGACGATCACACCTCTTCCAGTAAGATCTGTATTTCCTGCTTCCTGCCCCAGGGCCTGGGCTCCTATGTGTCTTGGACAGGAGGAGGGCAGTCAGTGGCTCTGCCGATGCAGGCTTCCTGGGCAGGTGCTGGAATAGGAGAGTGGCTGCAGAAGTGATGGTGCCGACCTGGGCTGCAGTGATGCTGAGCTGCGGTGGAACATGGGCGGGGCCAGCCCTCTCCTGCTTTGCTCTGTTCCAGGAAGCCCAGCCTGTAGCTGGGTCTGGGGCACGTGCACTCTGCTGTAATCAGACATGGTGAGCTGGTCCATTCTCGAGAGAAGAGCTGGGTTCTTCCCCCAGCTCATGTACCTGGCTTCAGGGCTCACCTTGGCAGAGGGAACTGTCATGTTACTGGATGCTCCTCCATGGTTCCAGGAGTCCCTGAGAAGGTCACGTGCTGCTCCCCAGGCCCACTGAGCTCATTCGGGCACGGTGATCTGGGGGCTCTCCTGTAGCCTGGAGTTACAGGCAGGGCCTTGAAGGAAGCTGTTCAGCCATCTGAGCAGCTGCCAGTGTGATCTTCTGTGCATGCGTTGTTTGTTTAGTGGGCAAAGCTCACCTTGAATCCAGGTGATACCAATGGCGAGGTTCCTTTGGCGTTCCCTGGAAGGCTAGCAGCAAGCCCAGGGGACACTGCAAGTGCATTGCCTTTCCTGCAGGCAGCCTGTGTGGCGATGGCACCGGCACGTGCTACCTGCTGCCGGTCTTGGACACCCTGTTCGTCAGGACGAAACACCGGCGCCAGGGCCTTGGGACAGCCATGCTGCGGGACTTCTGCGAGACGTTCCCAGAAGAGCAGGCGCTGGGCATCAGCTGCCCCATTTCTCCTGCCATGTACCAAGGTAATGCCACCTCAGGCTGTGCAGACCCATTTGGGGAAGCTGGCAGATGACAGCTGTGCCTGCCAGCTGTGCTGAGGAGTCCAGGAGGACAGCCGCAGGCTCAGCATCTCACTCTTTTGGGAAAACGTCCCAGGCTTCCACACAACACAGGGACTTCCCCTTTGGCCACAATAAGTGAATAAAAATCATGGAAAACCAACTAATCACCTCAGAGTCATGAGTGGGACAGAGTGGGCCACCCTCCCAGCGACTGCTCCTTTACTGCCAGCTCTTGGCACCCGTGATGGCTCCAGGAGCCAAAGGGGAGGTGAGAGCCAGGGGCGTGGTGGAGGGTGGAGCCGGGTGTGCAGGTGTGCCCTGGACGTGCTGAGAAGTCAGTCCTGTGCAGGTCTCACTACCACGCAGGCTGGCTCACTTTCTTGGAGACCTCTTTGCGCTTTTGCCAGAGGCCCGTGGCCTGGCATTCAGCAGCCTGCTCGGGGTCCCCAGGTGTGTACTGAGCTGGTGTGTCTCTCCTGGGCCCACTCTCCCCACCCTACCTTGGGCCCACCCTCCCACCCTGCCTTGGGCCCACCCTCCCACCCTGCCTTGGGCCCACCTCCACCCTACCAGGGCCCACCTGTTGCTCAGGTGTGTGTGAGCCTTCAGGGCAGGGACAGTGCCAGGGAGGAGGACAGTGTGCAGGGTGGCCAGGAGCAGCATCAGCCCGAGTTGGGCGGAGAGGCAGAGCTTGCCCTGCAGTGGTGGAATTTTTCCCATGAGTTCTCAGCCTCGGGCTGTTGTGGCAGTTCCCTGGCCTACACCCACCTCCTAAACTGGCTCAGGATACCAGAACCCCAAATTCCTATCAGTGGTCGCCCAGGGCCCACATAGACATCACCCCTGGATCTTTGCTCCTGATCATGACCAGGCCACCAGTCTACACACCCTTAGGCCTCTGGAGGGGAGATCATATGCACCACACATGGGGACTGGGGCGTCCCTGGAGTGGGGTTAGGGTGTGTGTGTGTGTGTGTGTGTGTCTGGGGAGCAGCTCTGGGTTGGGGTTGGTGTGTGTGTATCTGTGTCTGGGGAGCAGCCCTGGGTTGGGTGTGTGTGTGTGTCTGGAGAGCGGCCCTGGGTTGTGTGTGTGTGTGTGTGTGTGTGTCTGGAGAGCGGCCCTGGGTTGGGTGTGTGTGTGTGTGTGTGTGTGTGTGTGTGTGTGTGTCTGGGGAGCGGCCCTGGGTTGGGTGTGTGTGTGTGTGTGTGTGTGTGTGTGTGTGTGTGTGTGTCTGGGGAGTGGCCCTGGGTGTGTGTGTGTGTGTGTGTGTGTGTGTGTGTCTGGGGAGCATCTCTGGGTTGGGGTTGTGTGTGTGTGTGTCTGGGGAGCAGCCCTGGGTTGGGTGTGTGTGTGTGTGTGTGTGTCTGGGGAGCGGCCCTGGGTGTGTGTGTGTGTGTGTGTGTGTGTGTGTGTGTATCTGGGGAGCGGCCCTGGGTTGGGGTTAGGGTGTGTGTGTGTCTGGGGAGCGGCCCTGGGTTGGGTGTGTGTGTGTGTGTGTGTGTGTGTGTGTGTGTGTGTCTGGAGAGCAGCCCTGGGTTGGGGTTAGGGTGTGTGTGTATCTGGGGAGCGGCCCTGGGTTGGGTGTGTGTGTGTGTGTGTGTCTGGGTGCGGCCTGGTTGGGTGTGTGTGTGTGTGTGTGTGTGTGGGAGTGGCCTGTGGGTGTGTGTGTGTGTGTGTGTGGGTGCGCCTGTGGTGTGTGTGTGTGTGTGTGTGTGTGTGTGTTGGGGAGCGGCCCTGGGTTGGGTGTGTGTGTGTGTGTGTGTGTGTGTGTGTGTGTGGTGTGGTGTGGGTGTGTGTGTGTGTGTCTGGGTGAGTGGCCTGGTGTGTGTGTGTGTGTGTGTGTGTGTGTGTGGAGAGCGGCCCTGGGTTGGGTGTGTGTGTGTGTGTGTGTGTGTGTCTGGGGAGCGGTCTCCTGGATACCTGATACAGGCAGGTAGATGAAGATGGGGGTGCTAGGTGAGCAGGGGAGGGTGCTGGGCTGGGGCGGGGCCAGAGCAAACAGCTGGGGCGCTGCTGCAGGAGGAACCCTTTCTGAAGATACCAGAGAGCTGGTGCTGGGGGAAACACCCCGGGGCAGGGGTGCTTCCGGCCTGGCTCACTGGTGCCTGCCTCTATTCCAGTCTGCAGGCAGTTCCTGTTGGCCCGTCCTGAGGAGAGAGGCCGCCTGTGGGAGGTGGAGGCGCCAGGGGCCTGGGGCCAGCGCAGCAACATCTGGCTCAAAGTTCAACTTCAGCAGGCAAGACTTCCAGTCTGTGAGTGGGACTGAAGCCTTTGGGGGGTTGGGTGGCCCTGAGTCAGAAGGTGCTGGTGGCATCGCAGGAGCAGAGTGTGACCCAGGTTGGTGTGGCTGCTGTCGTTGTGGCTGAGACCTACCTGCTGGGGCAACCTCAACTTCCACTTTCCCGCCTACCCCTCCCACTGGGCATGGTCACCCTCAGCTTGGTGCCTGGAGCTCCTGAGACCAGAGCCCGTGTCCAGCCGGAGCGGGTCGTCGAGACACCTGGCAGGGATTCTCTTCATCTCGCTGATGCTTGGGTGCAAGCCTGATGCTTTTTTGAGTAGGTCACCTATGCCCTTTGTGGAAGGTTCCAGATGACCCCTAGTAAAAGGCAGTATTGCCCAGATAGCATTCTGCAAAGTGGTCCCGAAAGAGAGAGAGAGAGAGAGAGAGAGAGAGAGAGAGAGAGAGAATCTGAGAGAGAGAGAGAGAATCTGAGAGAGATGGGAGTTCCAATTAGCTGGCCATTGCCACATATCTGCAATGGCTGGGACTGGGCCAGGCCAGTCGGGGGCCACAATCCGGGACTCCGACTTGAGCTGTCCATGCAGACTCCCATAGCCTCCCACGGTCTGCCTGGGCAGGGGTGCCTGGGGGCGCAGCCGGGGGCAGCAGAGCCACCTGGGCTACAGGTGTGGCGGCCCCTCCCCGACTGCCGGTAATTACAGCACTGGCTGTTCTTTCACTCCGCTAGGGTGAGCCCTGCCGTGGCTGCATGGGGCTCAGTAGGTGCCCGCTGTCCCTCCGCATGGTGACTGATGTTCCCAGCGTGACAGGCCAGAGCGCCTCGGAGCTTGCTGATGACGGTGGAGCTCTGCTCGCTGCTTGCTGCCTTGTGTGCTGGTCGGGTCTTACAGATGAGAATGAGTGAGCACAGGTGTGAAGGGGTAGGGCTGAGGCACAGCTGGGATCCTAACGAGGCAGCGGACACCTCTGAGCTCTGAATGAGGGGAGCCAGGTTGGGGTGTGGTAACCTTTATAAACAGGCCACGTCTTTGTGCCTGGACCTTGCCATTCCCTGGCTGGAACAGGATCGTATGTGGGACTCTGAGCACTGCACAGCCTAGTGCGGGCTCCTGGGGGCAGGGAGGATGAGTGGGACCCGCTGGGGAGAGGCCGAGTGGCGTCCTCAGCAGTGTTCCTGGAGGTCGTGTCCTGAGCCGGGAGATGCTGAGCTGGCCGTGGGATGCCAACGCAGCCACTGTCATTCAGTTTGGGGCTAGTCGACTCTCAGTTGAAAACAGCACAGGTGGACTTGGACAGAGAAGGTTCTGGAAGCACACTCAAGTCCCTCGGAGGAAGAGGGGTCGTCACTGTGAGCAGGTTGTGCTTAGATGTGGAGATGGTAATTTTTGGAAAGTTGTTCTGAATTTGGATCTGGTCCCTTCCCATGGGGCTCCTGGCAGGTTCCTCATTCCACCTGCTCTGCCTGTCTCCAGGGACCCCAGGCGGGCTGTACCTCGCCCAGGAGCGCTTCTGCAGCCGGCCTCATCCTGTAAGCACTTGTCAGTCAGTGCTGCCAGGGCCCGGTTTCCTGGCTGCGTCTTGGAAATGAGTGGCAGCTCCCAGAGCCTTCTCTGCTCCGTGTGCCTTGGCAGGCCCCCTGCCTTGGTCTTTAATTGGGCAGGGCTTCTCGAGTTGCCCAGTGCCTTGTTTTCCAGGCTGTCCTGGGGTGCTCCTTGCTGGGTTCCTGCCGCCTCCTGTGCCATGGAAATGGAGCCCTGTGCTGGAGGCCGGGGCCTGCCAAGCGCCCCCTGCTCCAAAAGGCATAGGCATTTTGTAACATTTCAAAGGGAAAGTTGCTCCTTGCAAATGTTTTCAAATCCATTTTGAAGCAGCCTCATCTGTGGAGGGGGACTTACTGAGTTGGCTCAGTCCTGGAGGTTGATAACATTTGTGACATTTAATGGTCCTGGAAACACTGACAGGTTATTTAGCATCTTTGGGGGAAAGAGTTGGTGGGAAATTGTCTCCCACACTCACTCACACGAGGAACCGTTGAAACGGGACCCATAGCGTGCTGGTCCCGGTCAACTGTCAGTGCCCGTAGTCTCTGCATTGGAGGAACGCATGGCATGGCCCACGTGGGCTGTTACAGATGCTGCAGGAGGCAGGGAGTCTCTGCATCCTGTTATAGCGGCTGCGTCATTCCGTAGACCGTGGTTTTGTGTTCTCTCTCCATTTGTCATCCATAGGGCGTGTTCTTCCACTTCCTTAGGAGTTTTTCAAAGCCAAAGGATTGTTCACAAAGAGATGTGAAGGATTTGAGATGGGGTGGTGGGGTCTTTCTTAGCTCTCAGTTTCAGCCTCACGTAGGCGTATTCTGATGAGTTTCCTGTTGGACAGGGTGACATTGAGTGCTGTTTGGTGACACAGCCAAGTGCTGGGAAGTGTGCAGAAACCCCAGCCCTTGGGGCACCTGCCAAAGGCTGCTCTGACGGGTTGAGTGGATCCCTCTAGTGGCCACGATCATTACTGCAGATCCTTCGCTGGCTCGGGGCGCTGGTGCTGCTGTACTAACCTCTGGCTGAGTCTTAATGGGCTAGGAATGAAGCTCACAAAGCATCTAATAGCTCCTGGCATGTTTTTAGTCCATGATGCGTACAAATGCAAGGAAAGATGGGAAGTGGCAGTGGATTCTCGGCTTCATTCTCCCATCCATTTGTTCATTTGTGTTTCCATGCATCTCTTCTCTCGGTACCCAGTTGCTGCCAGGGGAGTCTGTCCCCGCCAGGCATGGCTCTGTGTGTTAAGCAGTGTCGAGTCAGGCTCTGCAAGACTCCAATCCCTTATGAGTTAGCTGCACGGCCAGTTGCTACCACGACAGAGAGAATGAAAGTATGGCGGTATTTTTGAGTACTTTACAATTGAATTTTGCCAAACTGCATTTTGCTAATTTATTCAGTTGTGTAAATATGCTTGAAACTGTGCTTACAGAGATAACAACTGAATAATATTTACTCTTCCGCAAGGAAAAGTTACATGCCTATTTGAGCTCAAATGCAAAGCCCATTTTTTCTAGGAGCCTGCACGCCACACTCGTGTGGTTTTGGGGTGTGGGAGAAGACACCCTGTGGGGCCGGAAGTCACCCCTTTGCACCCCTTTCCAAGCTGGGGCCGACTTGCTAGGAGGGAGGGAGGCCTGCCTTGTGAATCTGGAGCAGTGAGCAAGCAGGATTTGAAGCCAGGATGGGAGACGCACCCAGGTCTGCCCGAGATGCTGGGCGAACAGGTCCCAGTTCTGGCTCAAACACACCCCGGTGGGGTCACCCCTCTCCCTGCTGACACCTGGCAGGCCTTCTGAGCCCTGGAGGGCATTGAAGCAAAGGTTAAGGAGCTGTCGGTTGGCCTGTTGCCATGGGGGATGCCTGTGTGCTCCTCACGGTTTCAGGCTGGGGAAGCCAGTGCGCTCGGGGAGTCTGAGAGGACTCCTTCTCCAGCCCGCTGCTGGAGGTCACGTGGCACTGTGACGTGGGTCTGCGGGGCATTCTCTGAGCCTCTCGTTTCCCTAGGGGTGGTGCAGTTTTGTGCCTGGTGTACCCGTGCTGGGGGCGGTGGTCCTTGTGCCTCTGCTCTGAGCTGAATGGTACAGTAGCTAAGCAGAAATAAAGCAGTGTGTCTGCTTGGGAATCAGCCGCTGTCTGGTAGTGTTAAGCCAAAGTTGAAAAGTCACGGTTTCCAATTCTGCCACGGGCCAGCATGTTTCAGACAGCACGGAATTTATCCTGTTTCCTCTCTGTGGCCTCTCAGGCCTAGACCGCTGGGAAATGGAGCCTGGCGTTGGGTTCTGAGTGACCCAGCAGGACTGTAGCTGCCGCAGAGAGGAGGCCCACAGCACGTGGCTGTGGAGTTGGGTCTGTGTTTTGCCCTAAAGGATCACAGAGCTCGGGGCCAGGACACTTCCTGGCTGTGTCAGGGTCCTGTGGGCATGCGGTGTCTTCCAGACGCGGGCTGCTTGAGGGCCAGCTGGACGTGGTGCTCTCGGGTCACTGGGACAGCGGCCTTGTCTCCAGCGTCCAAGGGCTGCCCTTCCTCCCCACACTTACACAAGCGCGCCTAGCGGGGCTGCAGCCTGTGTTGGAAGAGGGCTGTCTGGGGATAGAAGGGCATGGATATAGGAGCTGCTGCCACCTGCCAAAGGTGGGGAGCCTGGCCCCTGAGGGCTCTTCATGGTCCCTGAGCATAACAGGCTTTCCCTGGGCTCCCCTGGAACCCCGGCCTCCCTGCACGGCCAGCTCAGGATTTCCTGTCTGGCTGTCTGGCCAGCCCAGTGCCCCACTGGTCAGCTGGCTTTTGACTTGAGCCCTCTGTGTGGCTGGTGAACGCTGTCATGCATGTCTGGTGGCCCCGGCAGGACGGGGTTCCTCACCACGGAGACGCTGCCATCTCCTGCAGGTGGCAAAGGCTCCTGGGTTAGAGTGCCCACAGTGTGTCCTGGGAAAGCCTCGCAATCAGGCACAGAGCACTGGCTTCTAACCATGGCATCTGCTTGGTTCTGGCACTCCCTGGATGCCAAATGCTCGCGCTCTGCCAGCGCGCCTAGGAGGGGTCAGGGTCTGCCTGCAAAGAGATGTGCCCTCCACCTGTGGATGAGCACCCACCCCTGGTGTTGCTGATGCATGGTAAACCCTGTTTGAACACCTGTCACACTGTGTTGTGGGGAAATAACTAGAAGAGGAGCGTTGAGGGGCAGTCCTACGCAGTGGCTTAATGGGCTAATCTCTGTCTGCAAGCACTGACAACCCCTGTGGGTGCCAGTTCAGGTCCCAACTGCTGCACTTCTGATTCAGCTCTTTGCTTATGGCCTGGGATGTGGTGGAGAATGACTCACGTTGTTGGGTCCTTGCAGCCACAGGGAAAGCTGGGAGGAAGCTTCTGGCTTCAGACTAGCTCAGCTCTGGCCACTGTGGCCATCTGGGGAGTTAACCACTGGATGGAAGATTTCCTTCTGTCTCTTCTTTCTGTAGATATGCCTTTATTAAAAAGAGAGAGAGAGAGAGAGAGAGAGAGAGAGAGAGAGAGAGAGAGAGAGAGAGAGATCGGTCCAGGACCAGCAGGGCTGGCTGTGTCTTGAACATTGGGCCACAGGCTGCTAAGGCAGGGCTTGGGGCCCTGAGGCAGCCAGGGGGGCTGCCCAGCCGGCGGTGTCTTGGGTTCGAGGCTGAGCTGTCCCTCACATCCACTCTGTAAGCCTGTGGCTCCCTCTGGCCGGCCAGAGCCTCTGAACCTGCTCTCAAGCCCAGGTCTCAGCATGAAGTTCAAGGCTGAGCCAGGAGTGTCTAGCTTACACTGTCCGGGGCGTCCATGTTGTAGTGTCCAGATGGAAGACCCGTGGGCACCTTTGTGATTTCAGGAGAGGACCCACGGAGAGCCGGATGACGCAAGGAAGGAGCGACATGGCGGAGAGATGGAGGAGGCTGAGAGAATCGCGGGGGAGACCCTGCGCGGCCCAGCTGGAGGAGGTGGCGGCCACCGGGAGGATGGTGGAACCATGCTGCCGGAGGCCCACACAGCCCACTCCAGGTCCTGCAGGGGCTGTGCCTGGTGCCCTGGAGGGGTCTGAGAGCCTGTGCGCCTGTGCCCGGCCCTGGGCCCTGCCTTGCCTCCCTGCGACATCCTGTCCCTCCACGCCCCTTGCTGGCATGAATGTGGCATGGTGTTTATGAGGTCATTTTCATTATCCAGTTTCTCTGTGTTCTTGCCTATTTTCTTTTTAAACCGTTGTTCTGAGATGTAATGTGCAAGCCGTGAAGTGCAGTCAGAGCCGTAATGCAGTGAGTTTTCATGCCTGCAGACCTGCATCACTGCTGCCGCCTTCAGCATGGCATTCCCACCGCCCCGTGGCTGCTGCCGACGCGGCAGGACCCCTGTCGTCTGATTGCCGAGGGATGGCCATTGCAGGCGCTGGTTGTTTGTGCAAACGGTGGTCCGTGGGCTTTGGGTTGATTCCAGTCTTCATTGTGAGTAGGGCTGCTGACTGTTCATCAGCCAGGAGTGGCATCTATGGGATGGGCGGTGAGCAGGTGCTCCGGGATCCTGGGAGCTTGGCTGCTCTGCGAGCTCCAGGAAGCTGGGAGGGCCCCAACCGAGGATTTGAGGGATACACCCTGGCTGCCAGACGCCGCATGAGATGGGCAGTGAGCTCCAGGAAGCTGGGAGGGCCCCGACTGAGGGATCTTCTGACACAGTAATCGCTCAGCTTGCACTTTCCTCTGGTTCCTGGGTTATAGTAGAGGTGCCGTGATTTAAGGGAATGCAGAGTTTTTCTGGGAACACTAACAGCTAGCCTGATAATAACTAGACATGAACATTGATGGAACCGCCTCCTGTGCATCTGCGGAACCTGAATTTACGTGCACTGCATAGAGGAATACACAAGGAACACATTTCAGTGGTGTCTGCAGGTGGACGTGGTGGCCTTTCTGTGGCCTGCTAGCTCCAGGGCCCCATCCTCTTGTGTTCTTGCAGGCATCACTGCGCCTTGCCCAGAGCCTCACAGGTGGCACTTGAGGCCTCCTTGGGATGATGAAGGGGTGGCATACCTGTGGGCTTAGAACAAGATACTTGATATCATAGTGCCATCTTTAAAAACCCAAGTGAGGGATGGGGCTAAGGCTTAATTGGCTAATTCTCCACCTGTGACTGTCGGCATCCTATTTGGGAGCTGGTTCGTGTTCCAGCTGCTCCACTTCCCATCCAGCTCCCTGCCTGTGGCCTGGGAACACAGGACAGCCCAAGGCCTTGGGACCCCGCACCCACATGGGAGACCCGGAAGAGGTTCCTGGCTCCTGGCTTTGGGTTTGCTCAGCTCCAGCCATCGCATTTAAGAAAGTGAGCCTGAGGATGGAGGAAATTCTGTCTCTCCTTTCTGCAGCAAATCTGCTTTTCCAACAAAAAATAAACCTTAAAACCCAAGTGAATACAATACGTCTGTGTTTCTATTAGAAAATGGAATTCTGTAAAAACTCCAAATGCTTTAGGAAGTTTGAGAAGCAGTGTGTGCCCTTTTCCCGAAGCCTTTACTTTTCCCTGGGGTGCGCCTGGAGCTGGAGCATGGCGCCATGGGAGGCCTCCCATGAAGGAACCAGGAACAGAAGTGAGGGGCTGTGCTGGCCGTGGCTCCCCGCCCCCGGTGGGGCCCTGCTCTGTGACCCTTTCCTTGTCAGAGGACCCAGGTGTGGCTATTTCCTGTAGGACACTGCCGCCTGCTCCCTTCCTGGACACTTGAGATCCAAGAAGCGGACAGAGTTCCCGGATCCTATCCCAGCCCACACTGGAGGTCTGGTGGCTTGGGCGTGGCCATCGCCTTCTCTTACAGACCTGGGTTATGCATCAGCCTGCTCCCAGGCTGAGCTCTCGTTGCCTGCTTCGGGTGGCTGCCCTTCAGAGCGCACCCTGACATGCAGGGGCCCTGCCTCTGCTGATGGGAGGTGGGCCCTGGGTGACAGCTCCGTCCCACTCTCTCCTTTGGGGTAGCTTTGAGATTGAAGAGCTGGCCCAGGGCTTTTGGGTCGGGAAGTGCCCGGCTGCCAACCTGGAGGCCTTTGCTTTGCACCGAGAAAGCCCAGTCCTGTGGATCCCCATGAGGGCAGGGCAGGAACAGGGGCATGCTGTCCACCGCCATTATTGCGGGCCTGTCCTCTTTGTGCTGGATCCACAGATCCAGTGAACCTGCAGGGAAGTCAAGTCCACAGACTCCCTGTTACTGCTTCCTAACCCTTAAGTCTCCCAGCCGTTTGCATGGTGTTCGTTGTAATGCGTCACGTGGAGATGACGTGAATGGCTCCACGCAAATGCCACATGTTCTGGTAAGGGACCGGCTTCTGCGTCCCAGACACCAGGGTCACGTGTGGTTGGCCTGTGCTGATGGAGGTACTTGGGTGTCTGTCCTTCCCTGCCTGAGCGAGCGTGACTCTTGACGTCACGGTCCTGAATGCTACCCCATCTCACACCGCTTGCACAGCTCAGTGGGAGCAACCCCTGGAAACTTCCTGCCAGCCTTGAGTTGAAACCCGTGGAAGCCAGGCTTCCTGGCTGATTGCCGCAGCCTGGGCCTCCTGTCGGGTGTTTGGGGTACAGAGTGGGGCTCCATGTCTCTCTCTGGCCTGCTGTTTGGCTTGGAGTCCTGTTGGCAGTGAGTGGGCAATGGTATGTACATCCAGAATTAGGAGGAATTCCAGGTCAGGATCTAGTGGGGCCAGGCCAGAGGAGGGGCTGTGGGTGAGGCCTGGGTGGGCTCAGAGCTGGGACCGGGAGCTCCCATCCCTCCCACCTGGTGAGGCCTTGGCCCATGGGAGATATGGCTGAGCCGGGCTGCAAATCAGTGGGTCCAGATGGCTGGTGGAGGGGAGTGCTAGAGACACTGAGACTTAGGGACCCAGAGGCTGCTGTGGCTTTCAGCCAGGGTGTGTCCCTGCTGCTTGCTGGCCATGTCAGTCATGGTCACTGCCGCCCTTGGACTTGGTTTGTTAACTGCCCCCAGAGGTGACCCCAGCCGCCACGGTCGGTCTGCATTTTCTGAATCCCCAAGACTGGGGTGGCGATAAGGAAACGGGAGGTGTGTCTTGGGGCTCAGGGGTCTGAGGGCCAAGAAGGGTGGCACCAGGTAAGGGTGACCCACGGGGAGGGTCGCGGAGGAAGAGCAAGCTGGCTTGTGCTGGGGAGGGAACCCCGCTGGATGCCTACAGGTGCCCATTCAGCCCACAGCCGCATTCACTCCTCCCAGATCCCCTGTGACCCTGAGCACCTGAAGATGGGGAGGACCTCCTGGACAGCTGGCTGGGGACCAGGGACACGGGTCTTCCAGGAGGGAGGCAGAGAGAGGTGATATTCCACGGCTGTGATATGGTCAGCTGCCCGTGAGGACGGGGGATGGACCTGTGCATCCCAGGGATGTAGCTGGCCCCTGGAGCTGGGACAGCGAGGAGATGGGCTCACCCGGGGAGTTTAGCTCATGAGCTGTGTGCCGCATGTGCTAAGTAACCCACGGAGACACTGGATCTGTGTGCATTTGTCTCGGCATCAGTGGGACACCCCTCCATACCTGCAGGGTGCCCTGAGCCGGACTGGCTAACCTGTCACATGTTGTCATGACATCTCCTGAGCAGCCGAAGGCTGTGAGAAGCATCAGAGGCTGGGGGATCGCGTGGGCAGAGGCCAGGGGTCCAGCGGCGACTCCCACGGAGAGCTGCTCTGGCTCAGCTGCCCAGGCCACAGCTCTCAGCCAGCCAGGCTTCAGCCAGTCGGTGGCTTCAGGGGCAGCAGGGGCGTGCAGTCCACGAGGGACCTGGGCAGGTGCACTGGGGGTACCTTCCCTGCGAGGCCGAGGTCCTCCCGGAGGTGACACTGGGGCAGCTCGGGCTGGGTGTGCCTCTCCCCTGGACCTCCCTGCCGCCAGAGGACAGTCCTGCAGCCGCGAGCTGCCAGCACGGCCCGCGATGCGTCCTGCACCTGCTCCCTGCACGGTGGCATGAGAACCGGGTAGTCCCTTGATCCTACCCGGCTTGGCGAGCTCCCGCTCCGGCGCTGGCTGCATCTCCACTGGACCGGCGAGGTTTTGGGGGGAAAGCAGGGCCACGGCGGCCACACGATGGCAGCCTTGCCCAGACCCAGGCCCGCCCTGCGCAAACGCAGCTCGCATGCGCGTCTTCAATAGCAGCTGCAGGTGCATTTGCGGAAAGACGGCAGCCCTACTCTCCAGCCCTTCCTGTCCAGACCCCTGAGCCGAGCCACAGGCAGGACACAACCTCCGGGCGGTGTCCTGAAGAAGCAGCCGCAGCACCGGGCTGGACCCGCGGCTCATCCTGTTATGACTACCAGCTGGGACGTCAGTAGGGGTCTCTGGGAGGGGGCAGAGAGAGGACCTCACAGGAGACAAGGCTGTCCCTGGGGGCCAGTCCTGTGGGTGACAGAGGGCGGGGCAGAGAGGGAACCCGGAGCCGCATTCCTGGGGCTGTGGCTTTAATGAACTAAATTTGGGGTGGGGAGCATTTCCGATGGAGTCAGGGGACCTTGACAGCCTGTGCTGCCCCACTCATGGGGTAAGGCGGAAAGCTGTTTCTCCTGTGAAGGGCTTCCCCCGGAGGCTGGGGACCCGCCCTCTCATGCAGCTGGCAGTTGGACCCTGGCCAGCCACGGACAGCTGAGCTGGACATGGTGACCGTGGGCCCAGCTGCATGCATGCCCTGGTTCGGCCTGTGTGTTGTCTGCTCACAGCTCCTTTCGTTTTTCCTGAATTCCCCTCACCCCCAGGCTCTCCTCTGCATTGTGGTCTGGGCAGGGCAGGCAATCCAGGCCTCATTGTGAGAGCGCAGAGTCCCCGGGGAATAGGACCCCTTTCTCCCCGCACCCAAGGGTGCTGGTTGTCTTGTTCCTGTTCAGAGGGGCTGCAGTGGCTGCAGAGGAGGGATGACTGGCAGACTTGGGGAACTCCTGGGGGTTGTTGCCTTTGCTCCAGCTGTGGCCATGGCCAGAACCCCTTTGGCTTTAGTTGGCCTGGAGTCCACACGGATGCATTCCGTCTTCCGACAGGTCCCAGGAACCACAGGAGAACCTGACCCCCACAAAGCCTCGGAAGAGGGAGGGCCTCAAGCTGCCCTCCAGCCGGTGCCCGACCTCTGGGGACCCTCCCTGAACAGCAATGATGGAAAAGCATGCTCTGCCACTATGTGGGGACAGGGTATGAAGGAGACAGTGCCCTGATGTCCTGGTCTTGAGCCTTTGTGTGGCCCAGGGCAGGAGGTGTGCACAGCACGGGGATCCCCACGTGGCTCTGGACAGGGGTCGGCCCTGCGGACAGCGCCCCAGATCGGTCCATGTCACTAGCGGTGGCGGCGACCTGTTCTGTGAAGAAGCCCCAAAGGCCGCGTGGACAGCGGTCACGCACAGGGTGGCGCCTGCGCTGCCCGCTGCAGCCACTAGATGGCGATGTTGCACTGTCCTGCGCTCTGCCTCGTGCCAGCTCCCTGTGGAATGATGATGCACCTGTTCCACCCGGTGTCCTGGGAACGGCCTGCCTGCGGCCGGAACCTCTGACATGCCGATGCTTGCAGCTGGGGAGCCCTGCAGGACCCCGCGCGCCTGGCGGGGAGGCAGCCGTGGGGGCATCCCCTTGCCGGAGACTCAGTGTGGCCTGGCAGGGAGCAGAAGGGAACACGCCAGGCATTGGTATAGGAGCTGTAGGGTCCATCTGCCGGGTCAGAGGATCCCCGGCTCTCACGTGGATGCGGGGCCAGCCGCACGTGTGCCCTGGGACCGGACCTGCAGCTCTCCTGGTCTAGCGCCCTCCAACTCCTGCAGTAGTTTTTCTGAATCTTGAACTAATCCACCTTTGCAAAATCAGCGAAAGGGGGCAGCATGTAGCCAGCGGGCGGCAGCATAGGGGTCCTGCATGAGGGCATGGGAAGCCTGCCCTCTGCTTCCTGCCCAGCTTCCTGCTGATGCACCTGGGAGAGCAGCAGAACATGGCCCCAGGGCCTGGGCACCTGCTGTCCATGTGGGGGAGCCACGGGGATGTTTGGGTTCTTAGCTTCTGTCTGGACCACCTTGGCCATCTCTGTTGTCCAGGGAGTAGACCCTTTAATGGAGGACCTGTTCTGTTTTGCTGCTTCTCAAATCAACCAATCAATCAATCAATCAATCAATCAATCAGTCAAGCTGAGAGCATTTTAACTTCCTCTTAAACTCCTCCTTCATTTTCTTGATTGAATGTTTTTAGAACAACTTTGCAGCTGCCAACAGCCATGAGAGTCGGTGGTCAGGTGTGGGCTGCCTCATCCACCTCCTCCAATCTCCAAGCTGTAGGCCAGCTTTGCTTGCTCTGGTCCTGGTCCTGGGCTCCGCAGAGGTTTCCCGACCCCCCGTGGAATAGACTGCTTTTGGGTCCCATCTGGTCCCACGCCTGCCTGGCGCCAGCTGGTGCTTTGAGGGTGGTTACCCAAAGACCAGATTTAGAAAGAAAATCTAAATATATGTAGAATTCATTTAAAGTTACACCTTTGGAAGAATGCAGCTAGCATAAACCCTTCCCAGAGTGGGTTTCTCCTCCTTTTTTTCTGCGTCTTTCCGACTGCTCGTGCTGTGGTGGTCCTCAGTCCTGGATGCTCAGTGTGTGCTTCCCGAGAGTGGCATCAGCCTGCGGTCAGGCGGGTGCCACTTGGCATGGGCACAGTGCTGCTCCCTCCACTGCCCAGGGTCTCAGTGAGTGCCTAGGGGTGGTGGTGGCCCCATAGAATCCCCGCTCAGGGTGCAGGCTGGGCACGGCGACTTGCTGACGCGTCTGCCATTCCTGTCCTTTGCAGTGCCATCGCGGGCTTGTCTGTGGTGACGTGGCTGTTTTGGGAGCGCACAGCACCTTGCCCTGCTTTAGCAGTTACGTGCACGTGTCACCTTTTACTGGCACACGCGACTTTGTGGCGTGGCTGCTATACGGCTTGGGCGCTGTGCTTCTTCCTAGGGTGCTTGTTGAGGTGCCTCGTCAGGGTGCAGGTGTGGCTGCTTCGCTCCACTTCCCAAGGACCTGCACGGCGCTCAAGGCTCGCGTGCAGACGCTGGTCCCCGTCTCTCATGAATGTGGCTGAAGCTTGTCTGTGCGTGAATCTTTCAGTGATGGTGGTGGTGATGGTTAAGGCGTGAGCCCCCGGGCTGCCACAGCGCAGTATTTCCCCCACC